TTGCAAAATGCACCAAGGTTCCATTAGAGGTCAGAAGAGATTTCCAACAAACCTTGCAATAGGCAAAGGTTGATGCAACCTAGAAGTAGGTAGAACAACAAGAACAATATAAGTGGGCTACAAGAACAGATCTATGATCAACATAAGGGTCATGACAATGATGTCAACCCAGACCTTGCAACTGGCATTCGTGCTTCATTAGAGTACCATGAGACATCGACCGAGTGACTCACATTGGAAGCAACATCGATCAGCTGACTCACAATGAGAGCATAGTAGTGGTAGTGGCATTGGACCATAGGGACTCGACTGCCCCTTTCTCATCAATTAGGCAGGATTGGTAGCATGACGCAGGGTGGCCTGTGAGGTTTCATAAGAGGTATTGGCAAGAGGTGAGCACCTGAAGTTGTCGACATTGAGTCGTAGACCTATCCACCACAATCAGCAAAACATCTACGGATTGACAATGTATAAAAAAAGAAAAAGAAGTGAGATATTAGCAAAACCATTACCAAGTAGTTCAACTTTATACGATTTCAGCACATACAACGCAAGGTCCATATTATCATAATATAGTATCATCAATTCAGAAGGCTAGCATGGGCATCCATCCTCTTACGCCAAAGAAAATACATGTCGTTTGCTAGATGAGGACATGACAAAACTCAAAGAGAGGATATGGTATCTTTTTTCTAATCAAATGGTGGCTATAATTTAAAGCAAAGTTATCAGAACCGAATCAAATATCAACCTGATCAAGGCTTAGATCACTAGATCATTGGTTGAATCGATGGATCAATAGGCCAAATCGCATACTTAATATTTAAAAAAATAAAAATAAATATATATGTATGTTAAAAATATAAAATATATGAATAATATTATAAAATAAATCTATAATACAAAAAAATAAGCATATTGAGAGGATAAAATAATGATAAATATAATGGAATCCTCTTTTATTTTGTTATTATCAATAAAAAGACTTAAATACCTTTATTTGATGGTGAATAAAAATTCAGAACATCATCATTTTAGAATATGTATTCTTATTTTTATAATTATATGCCCTTAAATGCACTAGTACAAGTTCGAACTTGTAACCTTTCAAAAACACCACACCTATGCAAGAGTTACACATCTTAATATTTTTTTAAAGTATCTCAATGCGAGACAAGGATAAATCCTGTAAGTAACTAAACAATC